GCGGCCTCCTCTCAAAACACACACCGCCTTGGAAATATGGTGTTATCCGACATCTCGATACTCAGCCATCTACACCGAAGATGGTCTTCCGTGTTTTGAACCACGGGCTTCTTCGGAACCGCGGGCATTATTCTGAATATTAGGTTCCAACCGCTTCAATGACGTAGGGGGTCCCCTCTCAACACACACTGTGCTTGTGCACGGCAGCCGATCCCTTTGGAGCGCACACAGGCGAGTCAGGGGTGCGAACCGGCCCTTCTTTGGCGTTTCGGCCCGAAATCGTGGAGGCATTATTTACAATAGATTCCAGTATTTCGGCCGCAGGGGATTGTGGTGACTTGCCAGAGGCGCCTTGGCTTGGATAAGCTCGATGCGACCGTTCGTCGCAACGAACATGACTCTCGCCACTCCGACCGTCCCACGCCCGCTGCCTGTGGCAGGACGGAGGCGCCAGGCGGTCTAGCTCCAGCTTCCGACGACCCCTGTCCTGTGGCCGGGCCGTAGGAGTCCCCGGTCCCGAGTCTACGGCAGGCTTCAGAGACCAGCATCGCTCCAGTGGGCCCTCGGCGCGGCGAAGGGGATCGCGTGGAGACGCACATGGTGAGAAAACGTGGTACGGGAGGGCGCGCTCCATCATCAATGATGTCTGCTGGGTCTGCCGTGGTCCTCCCGCTTCTCCTCCTCACCCTATTCCTCCTCTGCTCGTCGTCCTCGATATCCGCCTCACCCTATTCCTCCTCCCCCTCTCCCCCCTCCCCCCCCTTCCCCTGTTCCTCCTCGTTCTCATCATCCACAACAAAAATTAGCTGAAGACTGTTCGCTCTTCGTTGCTCGCGTGCCATTCAACATGTATACCCCGAACCCTCGATGCCCGCCATCTTCGTTCTGAAACGTACCCCTGTGTGCCAAGGCTGAGGGGGGCATGAGCGCCAGGCCCCATGGGCCCTGAAATAGGAGGAGGAGGAGGAGGAGGAGGAGGAGGAGGAGGAGGAGAAGGAGGAGGCGGAGGAGGAGGAGGAGGAGGAGCAGCAGAATGGAAAAAAGGAAAGAGCGAAGAAAGGAAGAGGAAACGGGAGAGGAAAGGGCCAGGAGGAAGTGGGGAGGACTTGGAGCGAACAGGATTTAGCATGAGGGGGAAAAAATAGGAAGAATCATGTTTGCCAGCGGACCGTGACGGGCGCGACGGCCCCCACTGGCGGGCGGGTCGGGCGGGCGGGCGGACCATAAGGTGCGGGCCGAGCGCGGGACGGCTTCCAGGCACGCGAACCAGCAGACCCTGACCAGCAGGTCGGGCGGGCCCTCAAGAGCGGGTTGGGCGGGCGGACCCGAACGGAGGGCTCGGGCGGCCAGACCCGAACGAGCGGGTCTGGCGGGACATTGAAGCGGGCGGGCGGGCTTCCAGGCAGGCGGGGACCTTACCGAGCCAGTTCGGGCGTGAGGGCCCCACCAGGCAAGTCGGGCGAGCGGTGCATTGGAGCGAACTTACTTCGCAAATTCCAACGAAGCCTCGGGCGAAAGCATGAGTCCTGAGTAAATAGTAAGGAAGTCTCGTGTGACAGCGCGACTCCTGGAAGTCAAGAGCACCGCGCCGTGGGAAACTACGAGGAAACAATAAGCGAGAGCGCGATTCCTAAGCAAATTTGAAGGAAGGTTCGAGCGAGAGCGCGATCTTGAAGCAATTGCGTAAAAGAGTCAAGCGGAAGTCGTTGTTGTTGTAGCTGGGGGTCAGGGGCACAGTTTGCGTACGAAGACTTTCCCTTACAAGGTGCCACCCTCTGGGAGGCACTTCACTTGAAAAGACAGAGAGCGCGCTGGACAGGGGGGGATCAACACTACGCATTCTCGAGAAATAATTCTTCAACATCATCACCATCATCATCAGCATGCTCCTCCTCTCCCCCCCAGGCCAGCCGTCTGCAGGCCTCCGGGCTTACAGCTCCTCGTGGAGCCGTCGCCGCGGCCGCCGCTGACGAAGCCGCCGGGTAGCCAGACTCCCTGCGCCGGGTCCGCTTCGAACCCCAACTCCAAAAAACAAGCAAAAGATCGATACTCATACTCACCCCCATTCCTTCCCCTTTTCCCCTCCCCCTTCGGGCTGATGGCTCCAGGGTCTGAATCAAACGCAGCCATGCCCACTCCCACCCCCCCAGCGGCCTACGCCGCTAGGGGGGCGGCACGTAAAAAAAAGATAAGGACGACGATTAATGAAAGACGGATACCCCGAGGCTGGAAAAGGGGGAGAAGAAGAGGACAGGAGGTCCTGTCACCCTCCTCCCCCTCCCACTCCTCGTCCTCATCACCTCGTCCCAGCCGCCCAACGCTGCCCCCCCTCGCCACCCCCGCCTCCCCGGCCGCCTCCTCCTCCTCCTCCTCCTCCTCCTCCTCCTCCTCCTCCTCCTCGTCATCCTCGTCATCCTCCTCCTCCTCCTCCTCCTCCTCCTCCTCCTCCTCCTCCTCCTCCTCCTCCTCCTCCTCCTCCTCCTCCTCCTCCCTCCTCCTCCTCCTCCTCCTCCTCCTCCTCCTCCTCCTCCTCCTCTCCTCCTCCTCCTCCTCCTCTTCCTCCTCCTCCTCCTCCTCCTCCTCCTCCTCCTCCTCCTCCTCTCCTCCTCCTCCTCCTCCGCTCCCCCTCCCCCCTCCCCCTCCTCCTCCTCCTCCTCCTCCTCCTCCTCCTCCTCCTCCTCCTCCTCCTCCTCCTCCTCCTCCTCCTCCTCCTCCTCCTCCTCTTCCTCCTCTTCCTCCTCTTCCTCCTCCTCCTCCTTCTCCTCCTCCTCCTCCTCATCCTCCTCCTCCTCCTGAATCCCTGATCCCAATGAAGAACTCCCCCCTGTCGCAACCCCAGACGTGTCGGCAGGGCGGGCCAGGCGTTTCGCCTGAGACTTCCTCACCACTTGAGGCCCTGAAGCTTGAAATCTAAAACAGCTTCAAGGATGTATGGCGGCAAATGTTTAAAAAATGGTTCTCGCATTAGCGCCGCGCACATTTGTCTTTCAAGTTTGCAACAGATTCAAAAATGCAGGGCGGCATGGCGCCGGGCAAATTCGCCTCAGGACTGTCAGGACGCAACAGGCATGTTGACTCCCGGCGCTACAGTCCTGCTTTTTCGGCGCGTGGTCTTTCAGGGGAACTTGTCGCAATAAAACACACGATAGCAAAAACCTGTGAAGAGGGAACTTGGAGGAAGAGGCTATTGCAGTACAGTCGATGCGTCTTGGGTTTACACTAGTCCTCTTTCTCCTTCTCCTCCTCCTCCTCCTCCTCCTCCTCCTCCTCCTCCTCCTCCTCCTCCTCCTCCTCCTCCTCCTCCTCCTCTCCTCCTCCTCCTCCTCCTCCTCCTCCTCCTCCTCTCCTCCTCCTCCTCCTCCTCCTCCTCCTCCTCCTCCTCCTCCTCCTCCTCCTCCTCCTCCTCCTCCTCCTCCTCCTCCCTCCTCCTCCTCCTCCTCCTCTCCTCCTCCTCCTCCTCCTCCTCCTCCTCCTCCTCCTCCTCCTCCTCCTCCTCCTCCTCCTCCTCCTCCTCCTCCTCCTCCTCTCCTCCTCCTGCGTCCGTCCCTCCCTCCGTCCCTCCCTGCCTCCCTCCCCTTTTCCCTCCCCCCTCTCCCCCATATCTATCCCCGCCCTATCCCTCTGTCGTCCTTCCTGCTCCGTGGAGAGACTCAGACGGGAACGGATAGAGAGACAGGCAGACGGACAGACAGACAGACATCTTGAAAGGGAACAAAGAAAGGGAGAGCGAGAGAGAGAGAGAACACACACACACACTGACAGAGAGGAGAGAGACAGAAACAGAGACACAGACAGAGAGATGGAGCGGATAGACCGATAGAAAAAGAGTGGAACCAGCGCAGGGGCGCTCTGGATCTGATAACTGAAACCTGCACGAATACACCATTACACCGATTTGGTACGAAATGGGTGTCAGCGCTACACCATTACAGAATTACATCATGCTACACAATTGTGTACGCGGTACACCACTACACCATTAAACCACTAGGCCGTTATACCAGTATGCGAGTGGTGCACGCGTTACACCACCAGACTGGTCCAGCCAACGGCTGGACGGGCTGCCGAGGGTGTTCCAGGATACTCCCCTAAGGATCGATCCTTTGTGGGGGATTCAAAAAAACACCCTCAGCAGCCCATTACGCCACTACAAAATTACACCATTACACCACAATCCTTCGAGTACCCCCCCCTAAGGATCCTTCAGGGGGGAAGCTCACACCCCCATCAGCAGCCTGAACCCCTCCCTCAGCAGACTGGTTCAGCCAGCGGCTGGCTGGACGGGTTGCTGAGGGTGTTTCTGAACCTCCCCTAGGGATCCTTAGGGGGCGGGTTTCGCCCTCCCCCCTCAGAAGCCTGATCGAGCCAGCCAGCCCGACCACCCCCCCCCCGTCAGCAGTGCAACGCCCGAGATGGAAGCTTGCACGGTTCCCCAGAACAGTGTAATGGTGTAATGGTGGAATGGTGTAATGCTTACACCGTTCTCCAGAATGGTGTATTGTGTAATGGTGTAAAGCTTGACCCAGTCCCCAAAATGGTGCAGTGGCGTAAGGGTATAAGCCGTACACCATGTTCAAAATGGTGTATGCATAATAGTGTAATGGTGTAATGGTGTAATGGTGTAATGGTGTAATGGTGTAATGGTGTAATGGCGTAATGGTGTAATGGTGTAATGGTGTAATGGTGTAATGGTGTAATGGTGTAATGGTGTACACCGTACACCAATTCCAAAATTGTGTAATGATGTAAGCCGTGCACCATTCCCAAATGGTGAACGGTAATGTGATGATCCCATTTTCCGAAATGGTGAAATGGTCAATTTACAATTTCAGATTGCCCCTCCAACGAGAGGGATGGAGGGAAGCAGGAAACGACAGATCGACAGAGACAGAGACAGAGACCGAGACAAAGACAGAGACAGAGAGAAAGAAATAGGGAGAAAAACAGAGACAACAAAAAAAGAAAGACCAACAAAAAGAGTCCGTATCTCCCGCCACGACGTTCTGCAGCCACTGGTCTGTTGAAGAGGCGCCCGCACGGGCGCCGAACTGCATGGGCCGCCGCGCCGCCCCCCATCAGTGGTCCGGGAGGTCGTCTGTCAGGCCGTTCCTGAGAACGGACTCCCGATATATACGCGTCTCCTCCGGCTCGAAGGCGTCCGCTAGCTCGAACCTGTGGGCCTCTTCGCAATTCGCGCCCACCGCCTTCGGGTACTGGCCGCCTTCCAGATCCTGAGAAATGCACAGTCCCGAGAAGTGGCGTATGTGGCCGCCGCTCTCGAAGCTGTAGTGCTGGAGCGTTGCCGCGCCCGCAACATCGCAGAGGGCCGTCCCTGGCCCTTTCGGCGCTGCCTGCAGATTCTCCATGCAGTCGAGCGAATTCCACTCGCGCAGGCCAGAGCAGCAGGAGCGCTCCGGCAGAAACCCTAGCTTGCTTGCGGAGGCCTTGGAGATACAAGAGCCGAAGACCCAAGTGCAGTCGCCGTGGCACCACTCGGATCCATGGCCCTGCGGGCACTTGCTGCAGCCTCCGGTCACCGAGTGGCCCCCGCATACAGTCTTTTTGTCCGAGTCCTCGGGCTCGCCGACGATCGCCCTCTCGAGGCCCTCTGGCGACGGGAACTGGGCTGGCGCTTGATTGCCGAAGTGGAACCAAGAGGACTCCCCGCACGGCACTAGCAGGTAGCTCTTATCGTGCCTCTGCAGGCACTTCCCGCTGGTCATGCTCCGGATATGGAACACCTGCTTGGGCAGCAGCCCTCCACCTTCGTAGATCTGGCGGAACCGGTGCAAGAAGTGGACAAACGGCTTACACCCAAGCTTCTTCTGGAGCTCCTTCACTGGAGTCACGTCGATGCTTGGGTCTGGCCCCTGATTGCGAAACTTGTGCGAAAACTCATCGAACCAGCCAGCAGCCACTCGAGCCACATTGTCATACTTCGCAGTGTGCTTGTAGCGGGCGACAGTGCGCTTGTCGGCGTCGTTACGCCACATATGGGCCACCATCGTCTGATCCGCGCGTATGACATCGCCTCCACAAAGCCAGACGCGCAGGGCTGTCTCGGTGTTCTCGCCGCCCCACCCGTGCATGCCGCTGTCGAAGCCACCAGAGTCGCGCCACCAGTTCCGGGTGGTTGCCACGAGGCCCCCGCTGATGACGGGGGTGTACGGCGAGTCGTCATTGTACCACCACCAATCAGCGTTGAAATTCATGTAGCACTTGCCGACGGACCCTCCGTTAGGCACCTCGTCCCACTTGGTGACGTCGAGGGTGCCGATCATTGGAATCACGAGCCGACGCTCCTTTTCCCTCAGCAGCTGCATCGTCTGCTTTTCCCAACCACGCCTTGGGGCGACATGGCAATCGTAAAAACCTACAAATTCCCCAAGGGCATGGTCACCCCCAGTCTGCTTGGCACCCATCAAACCGACGGGGGCCCCGTGCCTCTCTATTCTCAGCGGACAGCGCTTCGGAACCTCCTTCAGCAGCACCTCCGACAGAGGGGGCGTGGACCCGTCGTCCACAACGATGATCTCCTCCAAGACGTCGCTGGGCGTCCTGTCGCAGAAGCTCATCACCGTCTTTGTGGCAGTGGTGCTCTCGTTGAGGCAGGGCAGCACCACGGACATCTTGCCCCTGGAGGTGGGCCTTGCGAGGAGCTCATCCCGGCTCAGGGTGCGGCCCTCTGGCGCCGCTCCTCGCAGAGCCAGGCCGCCACCAAAGCTGCCTGGCGGGGAGGCCAGCAGTGCCTCCTCGGCCGCGCTGGCCACGGGCGCTTTTCGGCGGCGCGCCGAAGGGGGGAAGGCATAGGGGGCGGGGGGCTTCTCAGAGGGCTCAGGAGGTCTCCGGTGCAACTCCTCCGAAAAGCCACACACGGTTTCTCGAAGGCTGGAGGGCTTCTGAGAAGCCCCGCCGCCTTCTGAGAAGGCCTTGTCTGCCCCATCTCACTTCACCCCTCGGCGCGCCGCCGAGATTTGGGCGCCCACTGCTGCGAGACCCCCACGGGGCGCTCGGCGACGTCAGCTGCAGCGGGCAGGTCGTCTGGCCTGTGCATGCCCGTGCCGAAAAAGACGAGCAGCAGCACCGATTGCACCACGGCCTGCAAGATCCAGATGGCGCCGCCGGTCCTCATCATGCAGTCCACGGCGAGCCCGAAGACGGACACGGCGAAGAGCAACACCACTGGCAGAACGACCAGGTCCATCCTGTCCTCGTCGTGGCTGCCAGAACCCTCAAGAGCCCCCCCGTTGAAGGCCAACAGGAGCAGCGTGAGCGGCGCCATCCAGAAGAGCGCGCAACGGGTCAGCAGCATGCCAGCCATGTTTCCTCCGCCGCCGTAGGGCGACCGCACGCGGGAGCGTTTCATCTCCACGCGGCTGGTCGCCCGGGTGGGACAGCGCTGTGGTGTGCCTTCGCCGAGCCCAGCGGGATGAGACACCGCCAC